ATCAGCATGCAGAGAGATGTGCTCATTTCCAAAAGGCCCCTCCCTCCTGAAACGATGGGGTCCAAACATACTCATAAGGAGAATACCTCGAAGTAAATACTAGAGGTTCAACAAACTGCTCTGTGCATGCTCAGAGCTTCATTCTAGGTGAAAGTGCTTCCCAAAAATGCTTTGGTGAATAAAGACATTTTTGCAGAGAAAGGTCTGTGGCTTTACATGTGCAAAGGGAAGAAACCTAGCTCACGACACCCGCTTTGCAGTTGCAGATTCCTTTCTGTCTGTATCCCTTTCCCCCCTCTGAAGTCCAGTCACAACCTCAGGGGAGTGGAGCCAGCTTGCCTCTTTCCATACTGGCTGCAGTGGGGTGGGGGCTCAGCCTTCAAGGCCCAGCTCTGTGATCCAAAGACCCCCATGCCCCTCAAAACTGTTGGGATGCCACATAAAGGTGTGCTGTGTCTCAGAGATCACAGGTTCCTGGAAGGCTCTTCTGAGACAGTTTTTAATGCCCTTGTCTTTTTGTTTCCAAATGTACATACAGCAATGCACTGTATGTGGGGCTGCCTTTGAAAACAATTTGCAAATTTCAACTGATCCAAAACAGGGCAGCAAGATTAGGGGCTGGCTCACAAGAACACATTACATGCCAGTCCTGTTCCAGCTAACTGGTTGCCAGGTGAAGTCCGGGCCCAATTCAAAGTGCTAATACTAACATTCAAATCTGTAAATGGCTTGGGGCCAGCTTAGCTGAAGGATTGCCTCCTCCTGTATGTAGCTACCTGAACTCTGAGGTCATCTCCAGAGGTCCTTCTCTGGGAGCCCCTTCCAAAGGAAGTGAGGCAGGTGGCTACCAGAAGGGCCTTTTCAATTGTGGCACCCTGGTTTTGGAATGACCTCTGCAGAACTGCACCTGGCATCTGCTCTGTATTCCCTTTGATGCCTTGTGAAGAACTTTTTATTTTCCCTGTATGTAATAGTTTAACTTTGCTTTTATACATTCCATTTTATTCCATATTGCTGCTAGGCTTCTATACTGAATAGAATTGTGTTTTTTTAAAAACTTTTAATTTTAACTTTTGTTAGCCCAGAGCGCCTCAACTATGTATTTAAATAAATAAATAAATAAACACACTTTTGAAAACCTAGGCAGTCCCTTAGGACTACCTTGTTCCTTTTAGTGACCCTGTTTTGCTTCCAAGCTGATAGGTGCTCCTGAGTTGGCTATTAGAGGAAATGTTTGGACACTGTAATTAACCACACTAGCAATTGCTTATCACATAACACAAAGAAACCCAAATCATGCTAAGAATCTGCTTTTGCAACCACTCCTCTGCAGAACCTGGCAGGAAAATAAATGGGTGTGATAAAGCTGCCATGAAATGGAAGGAAGAAAATATATTATTTTGCTGCTCAACAGAAGAGGGGCATGGTGCCTCATTGTAAATCGTATTTTCTATTTCATTGAATCTGCAATGCTTTAAGGTTACAGTTCACAAAGGCTTCTGTGAACCAAGACTCATTACTTCAAGGGGTTTTTCAAGGGTAGGATACGTGAGCAATTTTAAGACAGACTGCTGTTATATTGTTGCTGTACAGTTTTGCAGAGTTTCTTACAGAGTAAGAAAGATGGGCTTCTGCCCCAAGGAGTTTACAATCTACATGCTGAGAAAAAGGAAGGAAAAGAATGAAAGATAAAGAAATGGGTATCAAAGGACGAGTAAGTGAATGAAATGATATATGAAGTGCAACTGTATACAGTTACAACTGTTTGGAAGTAACATTCAGTTCAATAGGATTTACTCCCTGATGTGTTGTATAGCAGAGTTAGGCACTCCAGAAGTTTTCTGCCCTGCTTATGTTGACTTGCGTTGAAGACAGCTGCAGACCAAAACATCTGGAAGGATACATAAGTCCAACCCTGGTGTAAAGGATTGCAAACTTAAGAGTAGGTTTCAAATGGGTTTTAAAGGGGGTGGGGGGAGACACTTGAACACAGGTTGTGGTGAAGGATTTTCCAAGCATTAAGAGCCAAAGCAGCAGTGTTTAAACTGGGATTTGTGAGACCCGGGTTCTAGTCTCCACTTTGCATGAAGCTTACTAGGTGACTTTAGGTCAGTCACAAACTCCCAGCCTAACCTATCTCACAGAGCTGTTGTGAGGACACTGTGAAGAGGTTATTACCTATAAAGCCCTAAACGGCTTGGGACCAGGATACCTAAAGGAACGCCTTCTTCCCTATTTGCCCTCCCGCCCCCCGAGATCGGCAGCAGAAGCCCTCCTCCGGGAACCCTCTGTGAAAGACATTAGGAGACAGAGTACCCGGAGGAGGGCCTTCTCTGCGGTGGCACCCCATCTATGGAATGTGTTCCCCAGAGAGGTCCACCTGGCGCCGTCATTATATGTTTTTTCGGTGCCAGGTTAAGACCTTTTTATTTAATCAATATCTTAATAAGTGTTAATATTGAATTCTTATTACTGCATTTTAATTTGCAGCCAGAGTGGGCTGTCAATTTATTTGTATTATATTATGTACTTTGGAATTTTATTTGTGTAAGCTGTCCTGAGGCTCTTGCAAAGGACAGCATACAAATACCTTAAATAAATAAATAAAATAAAATAAAATAAAATAAAATGAGGAGTCTCAGATAAGCTGTCCTGGGTTCCATGCAGGTAAAAGGTGAGGTATAAATATAAGAAGTAAAAGAAATCAAAGAAGGGTAGGATGCTGTTAGGTGCCAGAAATACTTTTATGAAGCCCAGTATGTTTCAAAAATCTTCATCAGGGGTTTTGCAATGGAACTAGAAGCAAAAGATTCAAGTTGGTGAGTATCACTTAGAAAGGTATTTCAAACATACCAGGCGAAAGAAATGTGTTTCTGTGCATCCTGCTGGCTTCTCCCCACTTCCCACCGTGTAACTGGTGCTTTTCCGTTTTCTTCTTTTGCAGGAGGGGACAAGGTCACAATGCAAGATTTTGTGACTACACAATGATTTTACTGTGTAGTGAATGCTTTGCTTTTTACATTACTTGGTAATCACTTGCATTTGTAATTTTCTAAACTGCCTTGAGGGGGCCTTCAATCCACAACAGCAATTAGATGCATAAAATACATTTTGGGAGGTATTGTTGGAGGCAGGTATACAATGGGAAACATCCTTGGGAAACATGGTGTCTTTACACTTGTGTGTTTTGAAAAATTTAGTCAAATGGTTTGTGTGGCTTGGTCTCGTTACAGCTGGGCAAGAAACACAATCCAAGCAATTGCTGCTCCCCCAAGAAGAACTCTTCCATGCCATCCAAGCTGGCCCTGGATGGATATGTTTTCTGCTTTCTTTAGGGTATCTCTTCTAGGGGCTATGGAGCATCTTAAAGGTCATCAGCACTAAGTAGCCAATGCAACTCAGCACATGGGAGGAGGATGGGACTAAAGGTCAGGCCCTACTGCTTCTGGCACAGGGACAAGGGAATCCTTTCCAAAGCTGTGGGGGACACCTGTCATAGACAGCCACACAGTATGACAACATAGGAACCAACCACCTGTTCTGGATTGCTGACCTAGATAGCTGCTAGGGAAGAGACCTGCTCTTAGCTCAAATTTTGAAGGCACACACAGGACTTCATCATACTGCAGGGATGGGCATCTTGGGCCCTTCCCAGTTAAACTGCAAATTCCCTCAGCACTGGCTATGCTGAACAGAGCCCGCAAGGGTAGCACTTCAAGAGCATTTGGAAGGCTACATGTCACCCACCCCTACAGTCACATAGGTTTGCATGCAAATCCCCATTAAGTACCCAATCTATGCTCAGTCTTCAGAATGTATTCCTTTGCTTGGGCAGCCTCAGAAAAAGCTTACAGGCCCAATCCTGTGGACATTTAGGCAGAAAACCTACAATTCCCAGCATGCACTTTAGGGAGTTTGTGACCTAAAGTCACCTTTTGCTGGCTTTCCTCTCATCTAAATGTGCATAGGATTGCAATCTAAAAAGCCTTAGAATCGAGGATCTTACACCCAGGACCTGCCAATTTCCAGTTGTAGTGTCACCAAGGCTTGCAGCACTAAAGAGGTTAGATTTTGTTATTCCTGGTCTCTCTGAGCTTACTTGCAATCCCCACTACAGCTGGTTGGTAGGAAAATAGATTTCCCCAGCCACCATATTTCCTTGTAGGGCATCCCCCGCTGCAGTGCCAAGCATTTGGAGGTGCCTGATTTTGCAGTTAAGGCTCGCTGGCTTTACAAAGGCTCCGTGGACCATTCTCCTATGTACTGCCATGCAAAGTCAAGCCCCAAAGAAAGAGGCTGGGTCAGGTGTGCCTGCCTGCATGTGAACATTTTACCACTCCACCGTGGCTTGTAGTAAATTCCATTCCAGAAACCAAAGGCTGACCCCTCGGGTAGGCTTCCTCGAACTCCCAGCGAGCGCACTGCCTTTTCATGTTGCAGTCACCCCCACCTTACAGCGGTCCCATGAATGCAAGCCCTCCAAATTGTCCTATTTACAAGAGTCCTACTCAGCTCTTCTAAGTTCCTTTCTGGCTTCCTTTATGGATTCAATCCACCTCTCAGGCTGGTCTTCCTCCTCTTCTGCTGCCTTCGACCCTCCCTAGCCTACCGCAGGGAGCCTCGCCATCTCAGGACGTAGGACAGCCTCAGTCTCCCGGAGCACCGAGCAAAATTCACTGGAGCCGACGGGGCTCTAATGCTGCAGCAACCCTTTGCAGGAGCCTTCCCTGTTCGGTCTCCTCCTGCTGCCTCTCTCTCCGCGACTCCTGCGTTCCTTTTGCACGCGCGCCTTCCTGCGCGCGCCGACTTCGCTCCACGCGGCGCGTGCGCCCTCGAGGAGCTCCCTTTCCCCGGGCACCGCGCGCGCACTTCCTTTCACCTTACGAGCGGCGGAGGCGGGTTTCGCTGCTCCTCCCGTGCCGGCTGCAGACGTCAGCTTGCAGCTTCACTCTCGCCCGCCCGCCCGCCCGGCCTCCTCCTCCTCTCCCCTCCCCCCGTTGCTGCATCGTCCTCCCCACCTCCTTGCGAGGGTTGAAGCGTATGCGAGCGAGCGAGCGAGCGTGCTGACTGCGCGCCGGCTTATTCCCCGGCCGTGCTACAGCCTCCGGAGGGTGCCGCCGCCGCCGCCCCGCACCTCCTTTCGCCCTAGTGCCCGCCGCCGCCTTCTCCCTCCCGTCTCCACCCTCCGCGTTTATTTCATGAGGCTCTTCTGAAGAAAGAGACGGACCAAACCAGCTGCGGGGCACGTCCACGGTTTTTCTGTCCGCGTGTGTGTGTGTGTGTGTGTGTGTGGATAACACCTATACACACACACATTTCCACATATAACACACGTTTTTACCATCCCCGGGTTTTGGCTCTCTCTCCAACCCTGCCTGGTACCTCAGCCGCCGCCGAGGAGGAGGAGCAGTAGCAGGAGAGAAACATGGCGAAAACAGAGCAGGTCCTGAATCTGGAACCGCAGCACGAGCTCAAATTCAAAGGTAAGGAAGAAGCGGAGGGGGCCACCCTCTCGCCGCTTTCTTGCAGCCGCTTTCAAAGGGAACGGCCGGTGGGTCGGGCGAGCGGCACGCTCTGCTGCAGCCGCCTTGCCAAAAAGGGCTCGGCTCCAGCGGCAGCCATTTTCCGGGGGCCGCCGGGGCTGGGCAGCAGGCGTCGATGCCGCGGTTAGCTCGCGGCGGACGGGCGGGCTGGCTAAGATGTCCTTCGTGGCCGGGGCAGCGGCAGCAGCCGCGCTCCTTCGCCCCTTGTGCTCGCTCCGCGCTGCTGCGCAATCGGCTCTTGCTCGGGGGGATGGTGCCGAGAAAGGATCCCGACCCGCACCCTTTCCACTGACTAAAGGAAGCGAAGGGTGTTTTCCTGGCTGTCTTTCCATTCGTGCCGTCTGCTTGCTCGGGCCTTTTCGGCCTTGGCGGTGCTCTTCCGTTTGGATCCGGCGGGAAGGGCGTTGGGGAGTGGGAGAAGAAACCCTGCTCGGCCGGCCCTCTCGGAGGCAGGGCGAGCTGACGGCTCCTTGCTTCGATTCCACCCGGGTGGGTCCGGCGGGCGGCCTTCGTTTAGCTAGTCCGAGCTCCGCGTAGTTTGCGGCCGTCTCTGATTCTTAACCTGGGATGGGGGGTTTGCTTCGAAGACCCCGCTTAGGGTGGCTTGAGGGGCTGGTCTGTGTTTGCAGCATGGTGTAATTACCTGTAAGGTTGACGAGGTCGCTGCTTTAAGGAGGAAAAACCAACTCGCAAACGTGATTACGCTGTTGCACAATCATGTAGCTGGAGCAAGCCCATGAGGGTTGCTCCGGGGTTAGTATTCAGTTTCCACGTCGCTGTGGATATTAAAGCTTTAAAAAGGCACCGCCAACCCGGCAGCATTAAATGAGAGTTAACCTTGTCACATATCAGCTCGATCCCATTTTCGTTTACTTAGAAGTAAGTCTTACTGACTTCGTTAAGAGTTCTTTCCAAGAAAATGTGCTCAGGATTGCGGCATTTTGAATGTTTGTCAAACAGAAGATACAAATTGATAAGGTGACCTTTTGCTGGATTTTATATGTTGGCATACTGTCTCTTGCATCAGTAATTAATTCGATACAAATTGCAAGCTTGCAGAGTAATCCTGAGCCCATGTACTTAGAAGTAGACCCATTCAAATGAGTGCTGATTAAGTTAGATTGACCATGGATGCAACTCACAGTATTAAATGAAGAGTACTGCCAGCTACCAGAGAGAGGAACAACAACAATTGCTTTATATATTTCTATTTAATATAAAATGAAAGTCAGTCTATCTGCATTTTTCTCATGTTAGATTGAAGTCATATTTGGCTTAGTCCCTGCAGGGGCACAATCTCATACCAATCAGGATTTACATGGGTATATTGAATGTTGGTTAAAACCATAGAACAAGTCAAGTCAATCTTTATTTGCATTAGCCTTAGCATATAAAATGTTAAAAAACCCCTAGAACATGTGGAATGGCATTTCAGAGTGTGTTGCAATAAATTCTGGGCCCTTTGACCTAGTGTGCTATACCATATTACCAACTCCCAAAAGAAGAAGAACATAAGAGAAAGGCCATGCTAGATTAGATCAAAGGCCTCTCTAACTCATCAGTTTGTTCCCACATTGGCCAGCCAGGTGCCTCTGGGAAGCCCAGGAGCCAGAATGTGGAGGGCGAGTACACTCCTGTTCCCCAGCAACTGGTATACAAAGGCATATTGGCCTCTGAAACTGGACCTAATACATAGCCATCATTAGCCATTTCCCTAATCCACTTGTAAAGTCGTCCAAGTCAGTGGCCATCAGTGCATCTCAGATAGCAGATTCCATAGATTAGCCACGCTCCTTCTGCCTGTACTGAATTTCCCACCATTCAGCTTCATAGGGTGACCCCCATTGGGTTCTGCTTTTATTGGAAAGAGAGAGAAAAACATATCTCTCTCTGTCCACTTTCTCCATGCTGTGCTTAATTTTATATATCTCTTTCATGTCTCCTCTTACTTTTTCCCTAAGTTAAAAAGCTCCTAATGCAATGTTTGCTCCTAAGGGATTTGTTCCAGCCCCTTTGTCATTTGAGCTGTTCTCTTCTGCTCTCTTTCATATTGGTTCCCCTCTTTCGGGTGTGTTTTAAGGTTACCCCCCTGCTATTTTTAGAATTATAGCTGAAGAAAGGCTTTGTAATACATTCAACCCATTTTATATTAGTTTTAGACCTTAGAAATTGAACACTGAAGTGATGGATGGTGTGACCAACAGGGCTGCTGGTAATATAATCTTGTGAGATCAGACAGCAGCAACCAAAGTATGGATCAGAAATGTTTCTGCTTGCAATGATGTTGGCAGAGTTTAGCTCCAAAAGGCTCTCAGTATATCTGTAAGTCCAGCTAAATGTTATAGTGGCTACTTTGCAGTAAATATGTGTAAGATTGGGCCATAATGCGTAAACTTAGAGATGCAGCTGGTAATTTTGTCTAACTGCTTTGCACATACACTTAACATAGGAGCCTTGCTCTGCTTAGTGGAAAAAAGAGTTTTCTGTCTGAGTGTTGCAGTTCACTTATAAACATGTGGATGAAATAGCAGCTGTAGTCATTCATGTGAGGCAGCAGTTCAGAGGAATAGCATTGGTAAACATAGGTTTACTGCCTGTGAAAAAAAAAGTTGAAAGTGGAGGTGGATTTTGGCTCAGGCTACTGCCTCCCACATCGCATGTGGGGTGTGCATGGATCTCGTGTTTATGTGGGGAGCTGTTGGTGCAAGGTGAGATTTTTTCTTAAATGAACACACTGAGATTGGAGAAACATCCAGACATGACTCATGAGTCATTCAGTGGAAGTAAACAAGATTCTGTCACAAGAGGCCTCAAGCCCATAGATGGGTCTAGGCACAACCAACCAAGCCCTGCTCATTGGCGACTGAATTTGCATGATAGCATATGCGAGGTTATTACTCTGCCTTGAGACAGCTACCCTGAATGATATGGATTGGTATGAGCAAATGAACTCTAGGCCCATCCTCTACTACTGCTCAAGCACTTCTTGTTTTGAATAAGTAGTGATTTTGACATTAACAATTGAATTTCCCAGAATAATTGCATATTATTCCACTTTTTTCCTGGATTGCCATTTCAAATGTCTGATTTGCATCCATTCATTCTTTTACATAGAGATTTGCCCTATTTGTCCTGTGTAATACAGAAGGTCAGCTTTAGCAGTTGATGACGTATCATGCACAGTAGTAAGGATAAAGTTATGAAGAATAATACAGAAGTATACTGCTAATAAGGTGGTGCTATTTTAAAGTGGTGCTATAAATCCCTCTATATTCAAAACATACATGGAGAGTTTTGACCACAGTTTTCAGCCCATATAACACCAGAGTATTCTCATTAGTTTTCTATTGAAAAAATTATGGACTGTGGCTTTTACACGTGCAGACATGTGCTTTATAGATGTAATCTGGGCTTTGAATAAGTTATGTGGTTTCAAATACATTCAAAGCCCTCTATATTTTTTCCATTTTAAGGATTTGTTTTCAATTTTGAGTTGGATAAAGACTAAATGGGAAATCTATGTTTAGTGTTCACCATTAGAAAATAACCACTTGTTTCCAAGAGTTGAAATACTAGTAACTTGTTAACTATAAACAAAAACTCAGTTCAATTTCTGACAAAAAGGACAAGATCCTTGAAGTTCATCCATGAATATAATTATGCTAGGCACAGCTGTTTAGAGTTGCACAAACATCAGTTCAGCAATAGCAGAAATAATCCTTTGCACACTTGTAATTAGTTAGACATATATAAATATTTTTAAGATTGTTACACAGTCTTGGTAGAGAAAGAACTTTTGTCCTAATTGCAAAATAACACAATTAAAGAATAAAGGAGGAGGCAGAATCAAAGGAACAAGAGCTGGGTTAGTACTTATGTTTCTTGGGTATGGTCACCAAATCTTGAGTGACAAACACCTTGGATAATTCATGCTTTACCATAAGAACCAAAAATGAGATTAAACTTCACTGAGAGTTAAGAAGATGCTTATCTCAGGAAAGTCAAAGTTTGTGCCTCAGCAGCAGAGCAGACACTTTGCATATAGAAGGCTCAGAGTTCAATTTCTGGCAACTCAAATTGAGCTAAAAAAAAATGTGTCAGAAATGCAGGAGGGCTACACTGGTTAGTGCAGACAACTCTTTCTTTGACTCCTTTTAATCCTTCCTCTGATTTAAGGGCAGGGGGTGCACCTTAAGGATCCCTGTTGGGATACCCAGGGTTCTGTGTTGCAAGAAATTATTTTAAGTGGTAGTGTGCTGAATTTATGTGCTTGAGTCTGCAGAGAGAGAAGGTACAAGAAAGCTAGTAAGAGCTCTTGAACTTACTTGAAATTCTAGTTTATGTTAGAGGTTTAAGTCAGGTGAAATAATATCCTTTGGCAGGGTTAGAGGCTCTTGACTCGTCCTTAAGGCAAGCACTTAAGTCAACAGTAGCGGAATAAATTTCTCTGATGGTTCCATAGAGAAGTAAAGTGACCTCAGAATATGGCTGCCAACCACTGCTTTTTACTGGGCTTGATCCTAAACTCTCACAGGCAAAAGATTATGCAAGCTTTCTTAACATGGAGAAAAAGTGGAAAAATTTCACCTGCTCAATTTCCATGTGTCAGGCTGTCTAAAAGAACAAGAACTAGACCAGTAAAGAATGGGACAACCTTATCTGTGTGTATCAGAGATTTGGTAATATACATTTCTATACTCATCTGTGACAAATCGGTCAGGGGTGTTTTTAGTTGGAAAACTGACTTACTTCAAACTGTCAATTTACCTCAAGCTGGAATGCAACCATTAGTATATGTGGACAGAATATAAAAATGTTTGTGGGCTACTAGCTGAAAAATATTGCAAAGCTAGTGTGACCCAGGATGGTCAGCAGTGAGTGGGAAAAGCAGGAATTTTCTTGCTTGGGCAAGCTGGAGTGGTGGATGATACCCCGAGAAT